GGTCCTGCGAACCAGCAGAGTGTGTGCTGGGTCAGTACACGGCCTCCGCAGATGGTTCTACACTTGGCTACCTTGACGACCCCTCTGTACCGAAGGGCAGCCATTGCCCCACCTTTGCTGTGCTTCGACTGCACGTGAACAATGACAGGTGGCACGGTGTCCCATTTTATCATCCGGGCCGGAAAGGCACTCGAAGAGCGTCTGCTTGATATCCGTATTCAGTTCAAGGACGAAATACGTCCCTTCGGTGAAAGCACGCAGCGCAATGAACTTGTGATCCGCGCCCAGCCGTCGGAGGCGATGTATCTGAAACTTACTGCAAAGACACCGGGGCTGCTGAACGATACCCATCAGACGGAACTTGACCTCACGCACGAGCGGCGCTACGACGTTACACTTCCGGATGCGTATGAGAGTCTTATTTACGAAGCTCTTCTCGGGAACTCGACCAACTTTGTTCGTGTAGACGAGTTGGACGCTGCATGGCGGATTTACACACCGCTTCTCCACGCCATTGATCGCGGGGAGGTGAAGGTACTGCCCTACGCGGCGGGTTCGTGCGGGCCAGAGGAAGCCCAGGAGTTTATTCGAAGTTCCGGATATAAGACAACAAATGGCAACGCATATAAGTGCTCAAACGCGTAAAAGGATTTTTTCTTCTTTTATTTTCTTCTGAACATCGAACAACGTTTTACACCTTTAAAGAATGAAGATGGGAAAAAGGAGAGAGGGAGAGGGAGAGAGAGGATGCATGCATGTAAATGCTGAAAAGCAGAAAATTGACACATGCCTGTGTCTTTGTGCGTAGTTTGCTCTTTCTCCTTTTTCATCTTTTTGTTTGTTAGATGTCCTTTTATGGCCCTTTTTTGTTTTCTTCTTTGCTTCTCCATTTCCCGTATAATTGATGCAACTTGACTGCGTTGGAACTTGGCGCCGCCTCCAGAAATTGTTTTGGAATCGAGGAGGGTCATGCAGAAGGCGTTCATTTTAAGCGTAGACGGCCGATATAACACTTTACTTTTTTTTTTCTTTATATATTGAAGGGGAGGCGAGTCACTTCTTTTTTTATTTTTACCACTTTTTTTTTTCTTATATTATTACCAAACAGTGTGGATGTTGACTTATATGCGTTTAGTTAATTGTCTCGTTGACCCATTTCTCCTTTTGCTGTTGGAACCCGGCGGTAGTAGAAGAACGCGTTCGATGTGTATGAGGAAAGGAAAATGGGGGGCGAATGGGGGAAGGCCGTTTTGGGTTGTGGCTTTTCTAATTGTCTTTATTATTATTATTATTATTATTATTATTATTATTATTATTATTATTATTAGTGCGCGCGTGCGTATTTTTATTTGTATGTATGTATTTGTGTGTGTCCATCCGTGTTGTGTTCCCTCTTCCGCTCCGTATTTTATCTTTTTACATGTCTGTTTGTGTTTGTGGATGTGCGATTAGTGCGTCTGGTGCACCGGAGGAGGGGGAGGTAAACAACAAGAAGATGCTAAGGAGTGACCGTGAGGAGATGCAAGAAGGTCAGCAGGGCGGCGGAAGTGTTGCGTTCATGCCCTTACGGGACGATGATGGCACTGGGACGGCAATGTAAGCGATTGGGGAGGAAGTTGGAAACTTATCCGTGTCCACTAGCAGTCCTACGCTGTGACGCAGAGAGGAGAGTGCTTCAAGGGGCTTCTTTTTGGTGTACCTGAGGCGGTTGCACGTGGCGGGAGAAAAAGGACCACCTTTTCTCGCTATGTCAGTCGACCTCATCTCGGTCTTTTTGTTTTTCGGAGGCATCATGTTGACGCTGGGAGTTGCCGACGTGTATGGATTCGAGCCGCACGGCTTGCACTCATGCTTGCCGGCGGTTGGGGCGTCGTGCGCCTTGACGGTTTTTCTCACAACTGCACCCGGGGCGCAGCCGCAGGGACTGTTAGGCTCATATCTTTTTGCCGCGCTGATTGGCCTTTCTTTTGCTGATACAACGCGGTCTCTTGAGGAGCTCCTTGGGCATTTACTGGCTAGCGTGTTTGCCGTGGTTCTTATTGCCCCTCCTTGCCATATTTTTGGTTTGTTTTAACCGTCCAGTGCGGCAACGGCAGTGAGTGCAGTTTTTTCACGAATCTGGGCAGATGAGGAATAAGGGTCACATTTTTATTTTGTTCTCTGTGTTGCTTGGCGTGAACATTGTATTTGCCTCCTCATGGTTGTTGAAGAATCTTTTTCCATGGCGACCAGCGTATCCCGTTTGGTGGTAAATCCCATTATTCAAACAGCGTCTTTTTCCTTACTACTAACTTGTGTTCGCTTTTGTGTTTTTGTGATGCATTTTAAATGTAATTTGTTGTTCCCGTTGCCACGCGTGGCTGAGTGCGCGCATTGTTTGTGTGTATGTGTGTACCGCAACATTTTTATTTTTCTGTTGCTGTCGGGATGGAAAAAAATTTTGGGGTGTTTTTGTGTTTGTGCACACTCATTGATCCTTTTCCGCGTGGGTCTTTTGCTTATCGTGTGGCACCGATGTTTTTTTTTTTTGTTTGCTTGTTTGGGGGGGAGGGGGATACAATGTAAAATGTGTTACGAGTGGAGGGGTGGACGCAGTGCAGTTTGCACGAGTTTCACTTTGGACACGTGAGGGCGCGAGGAACGGGAGGCGCGGCGTTTACTCACACCCAACACTTCAGCGGGTACTCTTATCCATGATTCTATTTTTGTTTGTGTGCTTTCCGCGCTCTTATGCGAATCTCGTTTTTGAAGGCGAAGGAAAGAAACGGAAAAATGAAATACCAAAGAATGATTTACATGGTTTCCATGGCATTAGCTGTTATTATTGCCGCACCCTTTGTTTCGAGTGACGACACAAACATTACTGAAGTGTTTGCTGCTGCTAGTTGTTCTCTTGATCACATTTCCTCTGCCAGTGACAGCTATTCAAAATCAGAAGAGGCTGAGCAACTAGAGGAATTGCCCTGTCGTCCTTTTACAGACGAGGAGTGCGTGCAGAGGTATGGCGATGTGACAGTCTTTAATAACGACCATCAACGATGTGTCTGGGGGTTGCCAGCTGGTGTGACGGCCTCAGAAGTGCAACTAATATCGAATTCCATCGTTGACGAGGATCGGTGTGCTTTTGTGCGGTCGCTTAACGAGATGCTCTTGGCGTGGCTAACAGAAACTGAGCTGATTACTATGCCTTTGGCCGATGCCGGTTTAACGGGGATACCGGTTCGTTGCGGTGGTATTGATTTGCGTGCATGGACTGCATACCATGCAGTTTACATAAATTCTTCTTCTGTATCTGAGAGAGTGAGTGATTTGCCCTTCACTGATGAGGGAATACGCAGTGAACAACCTGTACAGCCAACCCCTGTGTGGGCTAGGATCACCTTAATTTTTCTCAGTTTTCTGGGTGCTGCCTGTGTGGTCGAAGCCGCTGTCATCATACGGAGATCGTTTTTAAAGCGTAAAACAGAACTTTCGCAGGCTGACGCTTCCGGAGACTCAGCGGCGGCCTTAGAGGAAAAGGTCCATTCTACGGTGGCTTCCATCGCGTCTTCTTTTCGAAAAAGGGCGCCTGACGCTTCACCCAGAGCACTGTCACGGTTTTCCTCGCCTTTATCGGTCAGCGAGGGTACGCAGCGACCCGGTTTTCGCTTGGATGTCTCGGTGGAGCCAAGAGCTTCTCTGAGTGGTTCCTTCTCCATTTTGGAGTCTCCATGAGGTGTGCTTGTGGATGTTGGTCCAGTGAAATTGAGACAAGTGTGTCCGCGCATTTGCGCCGGGATTTAGTTATTTATTTATTATTTTTTTTTTTTTGACTTTTTAAATTTTGCAAGTGAAATAACATGCCTAGTTTTATCCACTCTTCTGGCAATTAGAAAGATGGAATCATGTGCACTGGTCAGTTCGAACTTGTTGTTGTTGTTGTGTGTGTCTGTATGTATGTATGTATGTATGTGTTGTAGCTATTCATAAATAAAAAATAAAAAATGAGAGGGGAAAATAATGAAAGGATTATATATATATATATATATATTCTATTGGTACAGTAATAAATGTGTGGCGGTGGCAACAGTAATAAATGTGTGTTGGTCTCTTTTTTACAATTTATCAAGACCTCCCTAAACCTCTTTTTCTTCTTTTGTTAAAATTTGGGATGAGGGATTGAAGGGAAAGACTGCGCGGGAAAACTCTTTACCGTAAAAAAAACATAATGCGCATATATATTACGTTTTCTCGAGTTTTTTTTGCATTGCTGTGTGAATTGCGGTGGTGCGTTGAGGGAAGAAGCGCCGTCAGCGAAATCCCTCCCCATTTTTCCCCGCAACAATTTTTTAAATGTGTCTTTTTGTGTGTGTGTGTGTGTTGTTTTTTCTTTTTTTTTCCTTTTTTTTTTCTGGTGGTTTATGGAAGGAACGGACTTTTTGCACCGAAGACAAACTAGTAGGTTTTACACTCAGGCATATACTGCGTGTAATTGGAAGATGCGGGGCATTGGTTCCTCTAGGAATGATGGGGATTTAGGTGTGGATTCGTTGAACCCTCACGGTAGCGATGGTAGGCCCTCGATGCAATCACGGCACTCGTTGCTCCCAAACGAGGTCACATTTCTCTCTCGAGCCAATTCCACTCTTATCAGCCTAAATGCACAAGATGCCGGGTTGCGCGAGAACGTTTCTCATGCTGGAGGTGATGCGCTCTACGGAGCCCCTGCGAACGAGAGGTCAAGCTCATCTTGTTCATTGAAGGCGATTTTAGGGCTATGGCCGCCAATACGTAGATTTCCTCGGTGGTATTGGTCTAGACTTACAGGCTACGATCAGTCTAAGAGCGTGTATGGCTTCTTTCCGTCATGGGATTTATTGATAACTTTTGTTTTTATTTGCGTTTCGATGCTTGTAATGGCACTTATTGAGTTTTACTTTCTTCATAAATACGCGATTCACCTGATCCTATTTATTCCCACCTTTGGCGCTAGTGCAACCATTCTTTTTGCTGTTCCTGGAGCGCATTTGGCACAACCCCGGGCCTTGTTTTTTTCCCACATCTCAGCAGCAATTTTAGGCGTTTCCGCTGTGAATGCTTTTCAGTTCGTGCCTGAAAAAACGTTTGGGCTCAAATGTGTAGCGGCTTTGGTGGTCGGTGTACACCTTGTTCTTATGTGCCTCACAAACACAGCTCATCCTCCTGCTAGCGGAACGTGCATCTCGGCCGTACTTGCGCCACTCAATGGATATTATCACGATCAAGGCTTTTTATTTGTCGTTTTCCCCGTTCTTGCTGGTTGTGTTCTCTTGTTTTTATGTTCGTGGGTACTGAACAATATGCTGGAGAGTCGTTCTCCATACCCCAAGTACTGGTTCTAGTTCTAGGCACAATGACGTTTTCAGCGAATGCATTTACGACTATGAATTATTTTTTATTTTTTATCTATGCTTGGGAACCTGTGAAGAGAATGATCGCGGGGAAATGCTGGCTGCCGTAATTATTATTATTATTATTATATCTTGATAAGACGAATATGCATTTCTTTACGATACTTTCCCCTATTTTATGATTGTTTGGAAGACCATGACATTAGGGGGATCTGGGAACCTATAATGGCAGAGGGGAATTTTTATTTTTACTCTTGCCGATACTACCCACCCATCCACTCTTTTTGATTCCCACTTCGCGGCGGTTTTTTGTGGCTGGAAGAGCCCAAATTCTGCCACTTGGTAAGTAACAATATTTCCAATGTTAACAAAGTGCAACGTGTCGCGAGAATGGCCATCGGAATATATTTACTTGGAGCAAACATCGAGGAAGTGGCGAACCCACACTCCCACTCCATTCACTACTTCTCATTTCCGTCTTTTGTGACTCCTATTGACAACCGCAGGGTCCGGTCAGCGGCCCAAGTGAATGTTCTCTTCAGTATTTTGGGATTTGGACATCGTTTGTCCTTTCTCTGATCGTTTATTTTTAGAGCCTCTTGAGGCTGCAAACACCGTAATCATCTTTTAGAGAGGAGCGTGATATTATTACTTTTTTTTTTTTCCTAGTTGTTGGTGGGGAATAACTTCTTTTTGTTGTTGTTATTGTTTTTACTCAGGAAGCAAAGGAAGAAGCCAAAGAAGCCACTGCATGGAGCTTTCTGTCAGACTTTTTCTTGAGAGCGCACCGAAGAGGCAACGGTACCTTCGTGCGGCACACATTCTTTTTGGTCTCAGTGAGAGTGGAAAATTTTCTCCGGAAACACGTCGCCAATTGCTGTCTGCCGCAGTGGAGTATCTTAAGAATGGCTTGAGTGTGTATGACATTCAACTATTTCGTCGTTCTTGTGAGGAGCATTCTGACTGGTTGCCGGAGGATTTGATGGTTTATGAAGAGGAAGAAGCTGCAGTGGGTGCACGTGCAGAAGTAGCTCTGCAGTCTGCCCTATCGTGTTTGGAGAGGTTGCATGTTGAGGATCGAGTCGGCAAATCTAATTCAAACCGTCTTTTGGCAACGAAAAGAGGTCGCTTGGAGTCAACGGAATTACGAGGACTGCGTGACCAGATGCGAGTGGCGGAGGTTTATGCCGACATCCGTAATTACGAGGCAATGAGTAAGGCTGTGAATCGTCTTTTAGCACTGGCCCATTCCATGCAACAAACCGCTGCTATTTCTAATCGAGCGGATTCTGTTTTTGTGCAGTTAGAAGTCAACAGACGTGTTGTGGAGCTGTGGCTAGGTGCAGGTAATTTGGACGCTGTCCGAAGCCTTGTGGGAACCTCTACAGCCACTCTTATGACACAGGCTGCGGAGTGCCTTATGCAGATTCAATTCTGTAGCCCATCGCGTTTGGTGCCACAGCAGAGAACTGTGGAGGATTTGATATCTGAACTTGAAGAATACGCGCTCTTTTTTTCAATTGTGCGAGGTTTATGCATGTTTGAGGATCAAAATTTTTCTGGTTTTGCTCGTGTCTTTACAGGGAGCGGTTTGCGAGGAGCGGGGTGGATCCCCGCCGTTGTGGAGCTAAACACGAAACGGAATTCTTTGCAAGTCCCTGCGTCGCTTGGCGGTGACGTTAATGCTTCCGGGCGATCCTCTGTTATTCACCATCTGCGACACATTGTAGAGGCTTCGATTACTTCGGGACCACAACTTGGGGTTATGGTCTTGTTTTCTGCCATTGCAGCCCTGCCACGTGCGGAGGCGATGGTATTAATTACGCGTGTGGACATCATGTCTCTCTGGGAGGATGTGTCTGATGCTCATGTGCTTGTTCAGGCTTTCCAACTAGCCAAATGGGGCGAATTTTTTTGTGCTGCATCCGTGCTCAATTCGTTATTTTTAAAAACGGATATTTTTGCACACAAACATAGTGATCTTCTCTATCGGTTGGTCATACAGTCGGTTGTCTTGGGGTATGCCAATGCGTTTATGCGTCTTGAATTGAGGAAGGCGGCTGCCAAGTTGTCCATACCACTTGGAGAGTTACAAGAGATTTTGCAAGAACTTATTCTGGAGGGACGTCTTCAGGCGAGGATGGATTTCGTATCTCAAGTATTAACAAATGCCAAGTTCAATAGGGTTACTGATGGCTATTCTCCACAATCTTTGGTGCTTATGGACTGTATTTGTCGAAGCGACATGGCTATGGTGGATGTTGAGCAGTCACTCCGTATTTTGTCTCTGCATCGACACCATGCGTAGTGTTGAACGAATTTTCATTGTTCCCATTTTTCAACCCTTTAACCCTTTTTTTTTCCTAATGGCGAAAAGCGAAGAATTTGACTTCACTCATTTGGTTTTTGTTTTTTGAGGTGTATTGGATTTCCGTACTTTTTGTTGTTGTTCTCTTAACTATGGGTCTTTCATAGAGCGTCCCCCTTTCCTCCGTTTTCTGCAGAAGGCGTTGTAGACCAATGGAGCCATGCACAAAGGCACCACGGTATGAGACGAGGGGAACGTCCGTGAACGCCATTTTTGCCTTGACGGGTCCAAGTGCGGGGGTGTTGCATGTCCGACCGGACTCTTTCCTGTCACAAACGAAAAAAGTTGACGACGCCCTTGTGCCTGTCTTGAATGGCTGTTATTTGCAGGTGGCGGTGCCGGCGGATCAGTATTGGCGCGCGGCATCGCAACATCACACACTTTTCCAATCCTCATGCTCTCACGAGCAGGTGACAGGACAGCAAGCAGCGCCTTCCACATCGTTGCTACTGGCTACAGGAGTGCTCAAACGTCCTGACCCAAACAGCATTCCCCGTTCATTCTACGGCACGAGACTGGACGCCATCTCGAATCGACACTATGCTGTTGATCGCGGCGCCCTTGTCATTGCGGCAGATAATCAAAATGGACTTGGCGGGAAGTTGTTTAACACCTTACCTCGACAAGAGCTGCCTTCTTTTGTTGGGGCAATTCCGATGTGCCACCATCGTAACCTCTACGTATTAGTTGATGAACATGCTGCCGTGGATCCGTTTTTTGATATTGACTGCCCCGTGCCACTTCAATGGTTGGAGAAGGACAAGAGAGATGAAATGGGGTTTGCAGGAGAAGCGCAGGTTACAAATTCCTCGTCATTGGCATCTCCGGAAGTGATGGTGGCTTCTGTTGAGCATTGGCTAGGTAAGATTTTGCATTTTTTGCGTGATAAAGTGGAGGCAGCAACAGGAGCTGAACTGCAAGAGTGTGTGGTGTTGACAAGCTCAGTGGTTGTATACAACGATGTGAACGTGAGCAGGACTGCCGGGCACGGGGATAAGGAGAGGGAGGAAGGGAAGCAAAAAGAAGGAATTGATCATTTGCTCAGCTCCCGAGACAGCAAGCTCAGTTTTCATGTTCATTTTCGTTTGAATAACATGGCGTTTGCTAATGTGAGGGAATTGCACAGATTCATGTGGCAACTTCGAGATGAACTTGACGTGTCTCTTTCAACGCACGAAAATTCTGACTTGGCCTGCCTATACCGGATGCTGCGCCAGTGCATTGACTTTGGTGTCTACACGCGTTGGCGGGCGTTTCGGTTGCCTTACAATGTGAAGGCTCCAGTCTCTACCGGTTTTTGCCCCTCAGACGCAGCGGCGCTCGATCTCATCATCTCGGCTCTCTCTCAGTCCTCTTTACTGTCTTTTTCTGTTCCTGATGTTGACGTCGGTGCGGTAGCTCCTTCGGTGGTGCACCTTATAGATCTTTCTTTTTTAGAACACGTGGCCTTGCCTCTACATTGCCAGCAGCAACACCGAATGATCACGAAAATATTTTTTTTGTTTCGATTCTTGCTGCCTGTAATACCCGGCGGGACCGCGATTGGCGACAAGGATCTCAATGATTTCTTGTCCCGGTATCTGCCCTGCCCTCCATGTAATGGCGAAGTGAATGCCAAATATCGCCAAGATCTCGCACGTGCGGTTTTTGACATTGGGGTGATTCAGCGTGAAAGCAATTCCAGTGGTCTGGATCAAGAGTCTAACGGCGATTTGCTCCGTCTAATTGTTTTAGATGAGAAAGTGAGTGAACAGCGAAATCAAGAAGCATTTTGTGATCCATTTGTGGTGCCAAGGCCCCCACATCGTGATGGCGTTCGTATACATGTTTACGATAAATATGTTAAAAACCTTGTGGCCGAGGTCTTTCGATGCCTATGCGCCGCATACGATGGCTGTGTTGGAGGTGGTTTTATGGTTGAGGATGCTGATGAGAATGGAAGTAGTCGGTGTGGGGCGACGTCCCCTGTCGTGGGGGATCGGGTGGTTGTTCAGTACCAGGATAACATCCGGGCTTATTATGCACAGCAGAAGCTCTCGAGGTATTGCCTGAATCAAGGTCGCGAGCATCGTGGGACGTATCCGCAGTTGTACTTGACATATGGGTCAATCAAGTTGCGCTGCTACAGCAATGATTGTCATAATCGCTGTCTCGCTGTGAGGTGGTCGAATGACGAGGATGAACAAATGACGGGATCCACGGCGATAGCCCTCCCAGTGGACGAGCGTGGGTACCCAAAATACGAGCGACTGACTGAGATACGCCACCTACTTTTTCCGCCACTTCCTCCAGAGGAGCTGTTGAGACGCTACGGTTCTTTGGCACTTGAGGGAAAGCAGTAGCAACGGTAGTAGCAGGAGTAAAAATTGAAGGGTAACAGGGAGAAGAGGATCCGTGAATTTTTTCTTTGTTCGTTGACCGGTTTCAACAGTTGAATTGAAACAGGTGGATTTGACCCTTTCACAGTGAAGCAACCGAACATATATATATATATATATATATATATATATATAACCGAAAGGAGCTCGTGGCCTTTAATTTTCTCCTCGTGCCTCTTTGTATGGATAGCTTTTCTCTTGACAAGCTGCTGGGGTTATTCTTTTGTGTTGTTATCGTCCTCTGTTTCTTGCCTACGGGAGGAGTTACTCGGCAATATCAGTCATCCCTATCCGCCGTGTGTGTGTGTGTGTGTGATTGGACAGTCGCCACGCTGTACTCTTTTTTTTTTTTTTTTTTACTATTTTGATGAAATTATCTGTCTTTTTCATTGGATCTCCTTTTTTTATTATTATTTCTTTTTCTCTACTCACCTCCACCTTGAAGATTAATCAACATACGCACACGTTACTTCCACCATGAAGTTTGTTTTGATGGGAGCCCCGGGATGTGGGAAGGGGACACAGAGCCCGTTTATAACTGAGCGCTATGGGGTCTGCCATCTTTCAACTGGCGATATGCTTCGGGATGCCGTTGCAAAGCAGACTGCATACGGCAAGAAGTTGAAGGCCGTCATGAACAGTGGTGCGCTCGTTTCAGATGATCTTGTGTTTAGCATACTAAAGGAGGGCATAGCAAGGCCCGAGTGTAAATACGGTTACGTTCTCGATGGTTATCCCCGCACGTTACGGCAAGCACAGCTGATGGAAGAAGCGGGAGAGAAAGTTGACAAGGTCATTTTATTTGACGCTCCTGACGATGTTATAGTTGCACGTACTAGTGGTCGTTGGATGCACCGTGCGAGCGGTCGCACATACCACGAGATGTTTCGTCCGCCAAAGGTACACGGCAAGGACGATGTGACGGGTGAACCGCTAATACAGCGCGCTGATGACCGCAAGGAGGTGGTTGAGAAGCGTCTTGAGGCTTATCGTAAGGAAACGGAACCCTTGATCAATTATTATATGGGGAAGGGTCTGTTTGAGCGTATCGATGCCGATCGTTCTGTTGAGGCAGTGCGCCAATCCGTCATTTCTATTCTTGATCCTATCGCAGTCCGTCTAGGGCTCAAATAGTGCTCTGGAAGAAGTAATGTGTGTTAATATATTTGCATATAACTATAATTATATATATATATATATATATAACTAATTGTAAACAGAGGGAATAGCGGATAAATAACTTGGGGAACAGGGGCCGTGGCTCAGTTCCATGAAGAAAATATTAAAAAAAAAAAAGCAAAACCAGAAAGGAGAGTTTTTTTTTTATTGCCTGAAGAGTTTTTTTTTTCCTGACGTACTTTTTATTTTTATTTTGGTGTTTTTTTTTTTTTTTTTTTGCTTTGTATGTATGGGCTAGGAGCTTTGGATGTGGGTGAATGTTTTTTCGTTTTTGTTATTTCCGTCTGCCTGCATTATTGTTGTGCATTTGTTGGTGAAATGGTTGGGGGGAAGCAAGAGGTGGTTCACATACATCCGTATATGTATGTGAGGTGGGATATCGACGAGGCACTCCGTCAAGACTGAGATCTTGCGGCTTCACCAGATTTTATTTACTTTTTTTTTGTGTGTTTTTCTTTGTGTTCTTGCGTGCCTATCCGAGGCATGATTGGATGAATTATCAACACAAATAATTGCTGTTGATAATGTGCGCCACTGCTACTTTTTTGATGAATACACACTGTTGACGAACGGCGATCATTCTCAGTCATCTCACTGTTTTTTTTTTTTTTCTTTTCTTTTTCATCATTGGTCTCTCTGCAGTGAGAACGAGACTTGATGAATTGAGGCGGGGATACTGACTTTAATGATGGTTTGCTCCATTGAGATGCCGTGACTGACACTGCACTCACAATGATCGCCATAAAGTGAGGGTACCAAATTTCCTGTTGTATTGTCTCTACCTCTCCCTTTTTTTCCCTCTTCCACCTTTTTTAGTCTGTCTGTACGGGCATTTACAATTTCCCTTTTTCTGAACGCATCTCACCGGTTAGCTAGACCGTGGGAAATTCATCATGCCGGCGAGTGACATATGCAACTTTTTTACTTTTCATCCAATTAGAGCCTTCTCCCCTGTTTCCTTACGCCTCTCTAAACTTTTTGTGTGGCTGTATTTGTGTATGTGTGCGTCTTTTTTTTCTTTCCGTATATATATCTTGCTTGCGGATTAATCTCGCCTTTTCTGCCTTTGTGGCAGCGATGACGATATCTTAAATTTGTGCTTTTTTAATTATTTTTTTTTCATCAAATAAATTCGACGGCCCGCACGCCGGCCACCATCGTCGAGCACGTCCGCCCTGCTGAGTGGAGACGTGAAGGGGAGCCCCGGCCCCGGAGAGGCAGCTGCAGCTGAGGGCGTGAAACACACAACCCTGTCACGCCTCTGCCACGGGCTAGCGCCGTGGCTCAATCATCCATTGCTGCCGAGAATCAGTAAAATAACAAAACCATAAAACAATCAGCCAAATAATCGATCAATAATGGAAAGTGAGGAGGCGCCTGCCAAGAGCACCGACGTTATGCCGCACCTTCGAGGAGCTTCGTGCCTCCTCGCCGCGCAGAGGCACTGTTGGGGAAGGAAGAGTCCTTCTACCCAGGAGGGGAAACTACGCCAACCCTTTTCGTGAGGCACGACTTCCCCAATTTTCAAGTGCCCGCTTCATGTTTTGTCTAATTGCCGGCAGCGCCGGGCAGCGGAGTGGATGTAGACTCGCTTCCTCGCACAATTCACGTTCACCGGTTTTCACAGTCTCCGGTCGATGCCCGTGGCGTGCCGTGCGGTGGCGGGTCAGTCCGTCATTGCCGTAGTGCTAAAAGCCGCATGTTGGGCAGCGAAATTCCACCAGTGGTGATTCCATCGGGGTGTCGTCGGCGGGCGACGTACGCTTTTTCGACGGCCTGACCCTCTACCGTCGTGGACTCGGCAACAATGACCCTGGCATCACCACAAGACTTTCCATGGCGTTGCGAGGGAAATGTTGTTTTTTTATATATCGTGTTGCCTGGTTTCCCAGCAGAGACTTTGGTGCCCTAATCTTTCTGCTCATCATTTTCATTGCCGCTTCTACAGTCTTCATTTTTAATGTTCTTGTTGTTGTTGTTGCTGAACTTCTTTTTATCGGTAATACTGGTTTTGCTTGGGGTGATGGAGGCCAGCTGCAACGTTCACTTTTGGTCTTTTTTTTTCCGTATTGACTGCATACAAATGCTGAGTGTGTGCAGTTTCCTGTAAATAATACGGGAAGAATGATTATTCTTTCTTTTTCTTTTACCGACTACTTTGCAAGAGAAATGCATCTGTTTGTTCTGGGTCCTCCTGGCAGTGGTAAAACGTCAATCAGCACCGTATTGAAGGAACGCTACGGCGTGTGCCACGTCACTCCCAGTGACGCGGTGTCGCACGCGGTGGAATACATTGGATCGGCGTTTGGTGATCAACTGCGCCTCCTTGAAGAGGGGAAGCCCATTCCAGACTGGCTGCTTACGCGTGTTGTTGCGGAGGCAACACGTGGACCGGACTGTAGCAATGGTTTTCTTCTTGATGATTTTCCTAAGACAGCGGAGCAGGCTCGTCTTTTAAATGAAGAGGGAGTAAAACCTGACGCCATCGTACTGCTTAATTTTGCTGACAACCTTTTGATTGAGCGTTTCTGCGGGCGCTGGGTGCACCCTGTCTCTGGTCGTATGTATCACACACTGTACGATCCTCCGAAAGTAAAAGGGCGAGACGATGTTACTGGACAGCCGCTGGTGCAACGCCCAGAGGATAGCGAAGATGCCGTGCGGGAAAGACTTGCAAATTTTCGCCAGAACTTGAATGCCCTTCGCCTTGTATATAGTGATGAGCGATTGTGGCATACAGTAGACGGCTATGCAGCGGTAGACACTGTGCAACGTTCCATATGTCGCGTTCTAGATCCTATCCTTGCATCGAGGAAGCGTCGTTGGTGGCCATGGTTTTTTTCACATTAGAATAAATCAAACTGCAGGACACACCCCTTCTTTTTTCTTTTTCATTTTCCTTTTCTCTTCTTTTTTTTTGAATGGGAACTACGTGAACTACGCAATCCGTTGGAAATTAATTTTGTATCCGTTTTGCTGGGTGCATCATTCTTGATGTTTAGCGCTGGGGGCTGTTGATTCTTTTTTCAAGCTTGAGACCTCCCTTCTTTCCTTTTAAAATGTGTTTTGCTTCCGTCCTCAACATTTGCTGTTAAATGGCATCACGAGGGATTACACCCACAAATTGCCTCCTTAAAGAGAAGGAAATGGTGTTTTTTCTGCGCCGAGTAGCCCCCAAAAAGACTTCCGGAAAGGTGGTTGTTTTTGGTGCAACGACGGTGGTGGGTCAACCCCTTTCGCTGCTCTTGAAACTCTGCCCACATGTAAAGGAGATTTGCTGCTGTGGGCCTTTAACAAGGGTGGATCCTGGAGCCAACTTTATCACGGCGCGTGGCGTGGCTGCGGATCTTTCTCACATTGATACCAACACCAGTGTGAAGGCCTTTGAAACTCCATGTGACTGGGAATCAGCACTGCATGGGGCTCAACTTGTCTTGTTTTGCGCTGGAAGCGTCTTCGATCCGTCCAGGGCTTATCGTGATGTGGCATTGAGGGAATCTGGTCCAGAATTGATGTTGGCCATGGGAACTGGTGGCAAAAGCATCCCCAAAGGCCATTATTGGTGTTGTTTCAAGTCCCGTGAATGCGCTTGTACCCATTGCAAGGGAGGTGTTGGTGCGCAACGGTGTGTTTGACCCGCGTAAACTGTTTGGTGTCACGACTCTTGACATCATTAGAACAAGAAGTCTTGTGGCAGATGAGCTTCAAATGAATCCGTACGACTTGAATGTACCGGTTGTAGGTGGTAGAGGAGGTGTGACTGCATGTCCTCTTGTGGCACAGACTGCATTGCAGATTCCCCATGAGCGTATTATCCATGTGTGTAGTCGGGTTCAGTCGTATGGATCTCACTCCTCTTACGAGGAAAGTGGTGGTTTTCCTGATTTGAGCAGTGAAGAGGCCGTTTCCACGGAGATCGTGCCACCGGTGGGTTTGTCACTGGCGTACGCCGTTTTGGAGTGGTCTGTGTCGATGCTGAAAGCTCTACGAGGGGACCAAGGTATCATTGAGTGCTCGTTTGTGGAGTCCGCAATGAGAAAAGAGTCACCGTTTTTTAGTTCACGCGTTGAACTTGGCGAGGAGGGTGTCGCGCAGCTGCTGCCAATGGGTCCATTGACTTCGTACGAGACGGAGTTGGTGGAGACTGCGGTGCCATTTATAGCGGAGGATGTTGAGGTGGGGTTGCGCTTCGCAAATAAAAAATCGGAGGCGGACTTGTAGGTGTGACGACAAACTGTATGACACTGTGTGTCGTGCTTTTTTTTTTTTTTTCGCGGGGCCCGTGCATATTTATGTGTATATGCATGGGGTGGATTCGGTTGGATGGCGTTCAACGTTCTGTGGAAAAGAAGAAAATGAATGGTCACAATGGTCGTCTGAATATTATTTAGTTATTTTCCATTTGTGTGCGTACTTTTTTGTGTAGCCGCTGTTTTATTTTATTATTATTATTATTTGGTTGTTGTTGTTGTTGTTGCGCATTGGGGTGGTGGGTTAATAATTTACATCCACAAAGAAATAACAGCAGAAGACAACAATAACAAAAAAAAAAGACAATACACAATAAGAAGGAAAAAGAATATATATATATATACATACGAAAATGATGCACAATTCTGCCGCTTGTCTTAGCAAGGTTGCTGTTCTTGGTGCTGCCGGTGGTATTGGCCAGCCCCTTTCTCTTTTACTGAAGAACAATCCTCTGGTGTCGGCACTCAGCTGCTACGACCTTCGTGGTGCGCCTGGCGTGGCGGCGGATCTTTCCCACATCTGTTCTCCCGCCAAGGTGACGGGATACACCAAGGAAGAAATCAACAAGGCTCTTGATGGCGCTGAGCTTGTCTTGATCCCTGCAGGTGTGCCGCGTAAACCGGGCATGACTCGCGACGATCTCTTCAACACAAATGCCTCTATTGTGCGTGACCTTGTCATAGCATGCGCCAAGGTCTGCCCCAAGGCGTTTATTGGCGTGGTCTCAAATCCTGTCAACAGCACAGTTCCGATTGCTGCGGAAACTCTCAAGAAGGCTGGTGTGTTTGATCCTGCCCGTTTGTTTGGCGTGACGACATTGGATTTGGTGCGTGCCCGAACCTTTGTTGCGGAGGCGGGTGGCAAAAGTCCCTATGACGTTCATGTCCCCGTTGTTGGTGGACACAGCGGGCCAACAATTGTGCCGCTCCTCTCCCAGTCCGGTGTGGAATTGTCGGATAGTCAAGTGAAGGCTATCACGCACCGAGTGCAGTACGGCGGTGACGAGGTGGTTCAGGCCAAGGATGGTGCCGGCTCTGCCACGCTATCAATGGCGTATGCTGGAGCGGAGTGGTCAAATTCCATTCTGAAGGCCCTCCGTGGGGACAGCGGAGTCGTGGAGTACACGTTCATTCAAACCGACGTCTGGCCAAATTTGCCCTACTTCAGCTGCGCAGTGGAAATTGGCAAAAACGGCGTGGTGAAAGCACACAAGCCACAGCTCAACAAGTTTGAGGAGAGTCTTATGGAGAAGGCCATTGTTGACCTGCAGAAGAATATCGCTCGCGGCAAAAGCTTTGTCACGAACTAAAAGGGGAACGATACCCCCGTGGAGGGTAGCTCCTCCTCCTTTTCTTTTTTTTTTTTTTTTTGACTTGTATTTCCCTTGTGGCCCGTCTTCTCGCTCGCCGAAAGCGTAAAAATGGAGTCGTAATAATACACGAGAATGAAAAAAGGGGGCATTGTGAGGGGGAAATTAACCTTTAAAGGATTCGTAGCTGGGAACATTGCATGAAAATGTCTTTGCAATGAAGGGTTTGGGGGGCGCACGCGCATCGGGCGGAGAGAAGGGAGAAACAAAAACAACAACAACAAAATGGTTTAGAGAAAAATGACGATCGACGAAAGAAGTGGCAAAGAACAGAATAAAATGGGGGAAATAAAACGGGAAGGCGGATCGATATGATGGAAATGATGTGAATGGGCCTGGGAATACCGGGCTGAGAGTGACTGGGAACTGTGTTTGGTCAGCGCCAAGGGAGGAAAGAAAAAAGATCGTGTCAATGACAATAAAACGACATGTGGTGAAAAAAAAAAAAAAACAAGAGGAACAAAAAGACGAAAAAAAAAAAGGACGAATTGTGCGTTGTGATGTTTTTGAGAAAAGAAAATAAAACTGAAAAATAAATAAATAAATAAAATAAAATAAATAAGAAATGAAAAGTTCTCGATTTGTTTGTTTCTTACTTATTTTATTTTTATTTTATTGTTTATTGTTATTTATTGTGTGTTTAATTCGTGGGTTTTATGCGATAAACTAATTTTATCCGTGACTTTGTCAACAACACGATGTCATGGTGTCACACTGCCGCTCTTCTTTGAACTTTTTTTGGCTTTTTTTTTTTTTTTGTGTGTGTGGTTTTCTGATTTATTTCTCTTCTTCTTTCTTCTTTCCTTTTTTTTTTTTTTTGTTTCTTTCAGTCCGAGGGATGACTAGCGTTTGGACCGGCGACGACTCCGCCCATTGCGGTGCAGTTGACGGGTGGTCATGTTCCAGGCAGCCACTAGTCGTGCTGCAGACACTCCCTGGCGCTGTTGCACTGACCCCCGTTGTCTGGAAGTGAAGTCCTCTTTTTTTCCATTTGAGAGTTGGACAACAAATTGCGCTGGTGGGTGCCTTGCGTCGTTTTTTTCTTTTTTGTTTTTTTGGGCAGCGATATTTTTTTAGTTTATTGACGCTGAGAGAGAAATGGGCAAAGGAAATTTGTGTCTGCCTGGCAATCGCCTTTTCATGATGGCGACTGAGGATGGCGGCTTAAGCTGGGCGTGTATTTTTGGGACTTGTAGTTTTTTTGTTTTGCCGCACCGCATTGCTGCCATTGTGCAGGGTCGGCTGGTGTGGGTGCATCCCGCTGGATTTTCTTGAGGGCCTCTGAAGCCCGTTATTCGTTTCGCTGAAGTACATATAAACCTTTGTGCGTGTGGATTTGAAAAATGTTTCTGCTCATTGCTGTTACTGAGACACCGGCCGATATTTTTATTTTTTCTCTCTTTATTATTTTAAATGAGTGTGTAAGGAAACAGGCGCTCTTTCACCGGATTATCAGCGTATACATATATATCTACATATATCTACGTATATATAATAAATTTATTGGCTCTATTGCAACATGCGGTTGCTTACGGCGCTCTTTGCGTACTTTATTGTCGCCCTTATTTTGGCTTTTTCCGTCTCCGCGAAGCACACCGTACATCTTGTCGCGCACACCCATGACGACATGGGGTGGCTGAAGACGGTGGAACAGTATCAATACGGCCTGAACAACACTATTCAGGTAGCAGATGTGAATGGCATTATCTCCAGCGTGATTGCCGGATTACTGTTGAATCCCAGGAGAAAGTTCACCTATGTTGAGATTGGTTTCTTCTCTCGGTGGTGGAAGGAACAGGGGGAGGAAATGCGGAATACTGTGCGGAATCTTGTTGCCAAAGGCCAGCTACAGTTCGCAAATGGAGGGTGGTGCATGCACGATGAGGCCACCACACATTTCATTGACATGATCGATCAGACAACTATTGGTCACCGCTGGCTGTGGCGCGAGCTGAAGGTTGTGCCCCGCGTGGGGTGGCAGGTCGACCCGTTTGGCCACAGTGCCACGCAGGCGGCGATGCTAACGGCCCGCGCAGGGCTTGTTGGAACGTTCTTTGCCCGTGTGGACTACCGGGATTTTGAGTACCGTGCAAGCACGGGACGACGACAGTTCTGGTGGCAGCCGAGCCCTTCACTGCCAGAGCTGCAAACATTTGCGGAGATAAATCTTCACCAAACTTATTGCCCCCCGAGTAAATTTTCGTGGGATGTTGTGGATTACTGGATGAGCGCTGTAAGAAATACTGACCCACTCAATTTTGTTGAAGATAAATCTTCCGAAAATTACAACATCCCTTTTATACTTGAGCTTTTCAAGGAGGAGGTACGAAGGAATGTGGAACAGACGCGTGGAAAGAATATCATGTGGACCATGGGCTGTGACTTTAACTATTTTGCAAGTGAGCTGTGGTTTGGCAAAATGGATAGACTCATTGAAATCGTCAACGCTGATGGGGAGTTTGAAGTGCGCTACTCCACCCCGTACGAGTACGCAATGGCAAAACGTGAAGAACATTCCAAGGGTATTGTGTACGACACCAAAAAAGGGGATTTCTTTCCGTATGCAAGTGCTCCACATGAGTACTGGACTGGTTACTTCTCTTCACGCCCCGCGCTGAAGCGACTTGTGCGACGACTAAGCAGCTATTGGACGGCTGCGCGACAAGTGGAGTTTTTGGCCGGTGTGCCTACCGGTGAAGTGCCAATGCTGAGTGATGCTCTTGCCATTGCACAGCACCACGACGCTATAACAGGTACAGCAAAGCAGCATGTGGCCTTTGATTACGCGAAACGCCTCACAGAGGCCTATAAGGAGGATCTTTCAGTTCGGTTACGTCCTGCGCTTTCGGGATGTCCTTTTGGGTTTGAAAATGCCCAGCACTGTCTCTTATCTAATGTGTCGGTGTGCTCCGCCACTGCCAAGGCATTTGAAAAGGAAGGGGCAGTTGTTAATGTGCTTGTGTGGAACCCAAATGCTCACTCTGTCCAGCGGACAATTGTACATATTCCTGTTCCGCGCTCCGATGTCATTATATCGGGTGAAGGCGTCTTACGTTACTCCGTGTTTGAGTCACCGGTGCAGATTAGTGACTATGCGAATGAGAACAAAGAATGGCAGCCTTATACATTAGGGGTGGAACTTCAACTGGTGAAGCTCACAATATTAAATCTCTTTACTCCCCAATTGAAATTTGCTACCAAAAAGCATACTTCCCGGTTAGTTTCGCTTGTGCGACCATCGGAAGACGATTTGGAAATATCAAATGAGGCCCTCGTGCTTAAGTTCGGACGTAACGGCCTAATAGAAAGTGTTACTGTTCGATCAAGTGGCCAAACGGTGGCCGTGAAACAGGATTGGTGCTACTATATCAGCAATAATGGAGATACTGTCAGTTCAAGCCCCGGTGGTGCCTACATTATGCGTCCTGTTTCGAATGCCACGTGCAACCCGATAACAGATTCCCCTGTGGAGCTCCGTCTTGTGGATCGCAGGATGGGGGTTGTGGAGCAACGCTTTGGGAAAGATCTTCTTCAACGGGTAATTCTCCGCGGAGATCTTGTTGATGTGGAGTTTACCTCTTTTGGCATTCCCATTCACGATAACTTCGGCCGCGAGCTTGTTGCCCGATTCCGCACCTCCGTGGAGAGCGGGGATGTGTTTTACACGGACAGCAACGGAAGGGAAATGCAGCGTCGGCGTGTGGACCACCGCAGCGACTACCCCTTTACGCAGACGGAACCCGTGGCGGGTAATTTCTACCCAGTAACTTCGGTTTTTTTCATCAACGACACCCAAACGCAGTTTAACGTATTTCCTGATGCCCCAATGGGCGGCACGAGTCTTCAGAGCGGTGAGGTCCTTTTTGTGGTTCACCGACGTCTTTTACGTGACGACTTTAAAGGCGTGGAGGAACCTCTAAACGAAACCGCCTTTGTCACAAGCTACGCGGATTGTGTGATGGCAAATACAAGTAATTGTGGCCATCATTACGGCCCTCCCCTGCGTGTTCGCGGCACACTGTCATTTTCAGTGTCACGGAGTGGACCAACAGCGATGCGGCGTGTGCGTGAGCAACAGGATGAGAACTATTATACGCCACTTGTCATGTTTTCCTCATCTTCTACTGATGCCGCTTCCGCAATTGCGCGGTATAACACGTCTTTTGGATTTTCGCTGCCACCAAGCCTGCAGGTTGTCACACTGCAATTAATTGATCAGCAGAAATTGCTCTTGCGTCTTGGGCACCGTTACGCTGTGAGCGAGGACCCTGAACGCTCGTTGCCTGTCGAAGTGGATCTAATGACAATCTTTAAAGAATTTCACTGGATAACTATCTTGAGCATCGATGAAGTCTCTTTAACAGCGGTGGAGATAGTGCAACGCCAGATCCAAAAAGTGACGGTGCGTCCAATGGATATCCGCACATTTATTTTTTATATAAAAGCACATTGAGAAAGGGAAATGCTACTCCATGGCATTTCTTTAGTGGGGACGTGGGAAACGCGGTAGGAAACGGGAAAATAAAAATGCGAGTGAGAATTAAAACGAAGTTGAAAATATGAGGAGAAAAAAAATTGTGAGTAGTGTAACCCCAAAACATATTTGAATTAATTAAAAAAAGTCAATTAGTACAAAGAATTCTATTTCAAGAGTTGTTTTTTTGTTGTTGTTGTTAGGAGCTTGTGAAAAGAATGATCACGGGAGAGCTGGCTAACTTAATTAATGTATTTGTACATCCTGATAAATGAAGGCATTTTTTATGATACTCTCTACCGTATGAATCTTTTGGGAAGAATGCCACTTTGTAGGGGCGGGAGCAGACAGAGGCCAGATAATATTTGTTTTTATTTTGCCATCCCACCCTAACCCCCTTGATACCCACCACGCGGCGGTGTCTTGTGGTTGGAGGAGCCCAAAGTCTGCCACTTCGTAAGTAACA